GTTCTATACTATGCCACGTTTTGTATCATCAGTCTCAGTGTGTTCAGCGTGAATCTTCAGGAGGAAAATTGGTTCCGAATCAAGCAACGACTGCTGGAAAGACAACGAGTGAATCCGCTGCCGTGTTGCTCGAACAATTGTGCAAAGCTTCATGCTCATACATAAGCTTACATTTGTACAAAACAGTTTTTCAAAACCAGATTTTAAATAGTTGTTGGAAAGTAGCAAATCTTGAATAGATACAGTACACGAATTTTAAACCAATTTTTGTAATAACAAAAATAACTCAATTTGATGCATCTCGAGGAAGAAGCACATGGTCCGCCATTTTGAATTGAGCGACCAGTTCAATTTTAAACCACATCGTTTAATAAGTAGAAAAATAACAAAACTTCTTACTTTCGTCTTTACCTCTTCTTTTGCCGCCGCTACTGTTTCTGCTGCTGCTGCTGCTGCTGCTGCTGGCACTGAGACGGTGGAACAGTATCTGGAAGAAATAAACGCTTGTTAGATGGTTCACGGCAAAAGGGAAGAGAGAAAGACGAACTTACCCACAGGTGTGCGCATATATGAACTTACTCTGTTGCTGTTGGATAGAAGGCTGTATTGCCTTTTCTTTAGGTGGGAAACCTGGTTCGGTAGGTGTGCAAGGCGTTGGTCTACATTTTCTTGGCGGCATGGCGGGATCAATTGTAACGTGCCCAGTCGGGGGAAACTCACACTCGACTATGATGATGCTGACTAAGCTGACTGCAGATATATTGACACGACCATGCGCGGTTTGAATGACTTTCAGCAAATTAAAAAAAAAAAGCTGTTGACAGGCGAATCGCGTGCCCTCAAAAAATGACGCACAAGCCCGCAATATTGGGAAAGAGTAATGAGATGTATACGGATAATCACACTGTAAAGATATGGACAATTACTTACCTTCTTCATCAGAGAATAGTACAGCTCGAGTCATGCGCTGAAATAATAAAGACGAAAAGCTCGTTAGATGTTTTAAAAACGAAAAACGGGAAAGTGTCAAAAAGGAACTTACATTCCCGACTACTTGAAGAGCTTTGCGTGTTCGGTTTTGTCTGTGAACTGCTGTTATTGTATCCGGAATCTGTGGTGGTGTTTGCAGTTGGTCTAGATTTACCAGGCATGTTAATTCTTTCTCAAAATGGATAGTAGACAGAAAGAACCTAATGGGTTTTCTAGCTCGAGCTAGACCTTAGAGTTTTTGTTCGGAAAATAGGGTTTTATAGGTGTCGCGCGCCCATTGGAGGGAAATCGACATTCAAATGATTGGCAGGTTAAAATCACCTGGCTAGCACTTTTATGCGTTGAATTTTTTTTAATGGTGACCATTTCTCTTACCTTGTAAATCGAAATTTTACATCGCCGCACTCAACTCTCTGAGGGCTAAATGGAAAACAAATATCAGGAAAGCGCGAATTTGTTTTTCCTTCAGAAAACTTTACACAAGATATTCAGTACACACACACGCGCTTATTCGTTTTGAGAAAAAGTTGGGCGTAAATTAAACTAGAACAAAAAAAACAAAATTCGGTACTTCTCTTACTTCTCTTGGGTTCTCCGCTGACAGAATGTGTGCCTCTTGTTTGTGCCACGAAGATGCGCATGCCACGCCTTCATATTCATAACAAGGCGAGAAAAAGCGCAGTTTAGTTGCAACGTAATCAGAGGAGGGACTTTCCCTTCGCATCAAATGTTCGAAGCGATGTGGAGGAACATTCCAATAAACCATAACTTGATGCTTGTCTTGAAAGAACAGGAGAGCGCGTCTTTGGTCGACGCGCAACGTTCTTGCCAACTTGGTTCGTCGAGGTTCATTTTGTCTCCTTTGTGTTGCGCAAAGTATCAATACAAATAAGTGGAATTGCCTTTATCTTCTTGCTCAAAGTATGACGTCTTTCAGTGAACTAGTCAATCAATCTGACCTTCAGTTACGTTTGGCGCATGATCTCCTGATTTGGTTGCAAATCTTTTCTCCCACGATGGCATCATCTCTTTGTTTTGACGGCGTATTGACACAAGGAAGTCGTTCTTGATTGTTTTTCGCTTTCCCAGAAAACGCGCTAGCAAAGCACTTTCGAGGTTTACTAGAAAACGCGCTAGCGAAGCACTTTCGAGATGATTCATGGCCAAAATATGTGCTTGTGATGCAGTTTAAGAAGTGCTAATGAGGACGCACCCCACAGCTTAAATGACAATCTGTCATTCTGCAAGCGCCAAGGTGGCGAGAAATGTAT